TTATGGAAGCAGACAACTCCATCGTTAGCCCCTGGAGTGGCAAGTGGGTTCAAACTGCTGACCTTTCAGTTAGCAGGCAAATATTATAACCACCTCATCCTCCGGGCTCCATCTATATGAAGAGTCTCCAAACAGTTTATGGAAAAAGAGAATTAAAAGAACCTTGATACACATTGATACACATGTCACCTCCTTAATTTATTTCCAATGGAGAACTTTGGTGATACCAGGGGAAATATATCAATTATTAATGAATCAATATATCAATTATTAAGGAATAATTTTCTCACATATATATTTAAATTATATATAACACCTTATTAAAATGGATGAAATATTGATTAACTAGATGACTTAGCAGTGGCCACTTACAATTTTCTATTATGTAAGAAAGCACAAATTCTCCTGAAAGTAGTATTTCTTACACATGTAATCTTGGAGAAGGTGCTTCACCTCTCTGCTTATTTTACTGCATTTATTCATTCATCCAGCTGCTAAGCTTCCCTGTGGATACAACTTTAGAAACCCTATCGGGTAATCCTTATTTGCTCTATAGGGTCTTATGGTTCAAATCAACTTCACTCAGAAGGTAAAGATTGGTCCTCATGGAGCTCATACTTCACGTGTGTGAGGAAGTGGATGATGAGGGAGGGCACTTATGGAATTAAACAAATGCATTTCAAGACTCTCTCAGGCCATTCTCAGTCTTACAGAGTCAAAGAACCTGGGCGAGGGGGCAGGAACCACACGGCGGTGTCATACTGCACTAGAAAGTGGAACAAGCTCTCTAGGGAGAGGCCAGCTGTTTAAGATCTGAATGCTGCTCGGAACATAGACTGACAATGCCCCGAGGGCCGATGAACTGGACGATTTCGCAGTGGCCACCTACATACAGACAAAGGGACAGGGCTGCTCTCAGTACACCAAGGCTCAGTGCCTGGGGCACAGGGAGAAGGCCAATATAAGTGTGGTGCTGAACTGTATCGCCAGCATCAGGGGTCCCCCCAAACCAGTGGCTGTCAAGTCAACCCCAACACCTAGTGACCCGAAGACATCTTATGTGAGACCCTTGGGAGACCACAGTCAGGAGTAATGCGTTTACCATTCTCAGTTCATGGGAACCCACTCCAGTGTTCTCAAATGCCAGGGGAAGAGTCCAATGTCATTAAAAATCAGTCTGACTGTTGTAGAGAGAGTAGTTGGTAGGGAAGCAAAGATAGAAGGAAAGAGACCCATTTGGAAGGCTGCTGGTGGCCCAGTGAGAGATGAAGGGATTCAGAAGTAGTAATAATGGAGTCAAGAATTGTACGTGGGGGTGGCATAGATGTTCTGCATGGTGCCTGGCTCCTGAGACCATCTGGGTGGCTGATAAGGAAAAGGATTGGGGAAGTAGAAATACCAAAGTTCTGGTTTGTCCATGTTTGAGAACTTCTGTCCTTGGGTGAGCATATTCCAAAAGTACATCATGAACCCTCTCTCTTCATTTGTGGGACAGTTCA